AAAATATTTATTTCTTAAAAAATGTAATTTCAAATATCATTTAATTAAAATTAAATATTAATTTACATTAAACTGCATACAAAATAATATAAATTAATAATTTAATTCATTGATAAATATATAAGGGGGGATAATATATATATATATATTTTTTTTATTTTATTTTAAGTCGATGAAAAGTTTTGTTTCTCAATTCTCCAAAGATTTAATTCGTAAACATTTCATAAAATTCTTTCAATTTATAAGAAAAAAAACAAAAATTGTATTTTATATTTTATTATTTAAGCATTTTCAATATTTTTTTTCTTATGAAATTGTATTTTGTATAAATAAATATATAAATTATAGAATAAAATACTTTCTAAATTGTATTTTAAACGTATAAATCCGTACATAAATATAAAAAAAGCGATTTATATATTAAAGTATATAAAATTCATTATTACTTGAGGGTATCTTACTGTATTCACGTATATGCCATTAAAAATTAAAGTTTAAAGCATTATGACAATAAAATATGCTTGAAAATTTGATTGAATTTATCTTATTCCTTAATTTATTATCGAAACAAATTATCTACTTGGTGCATTTCTTCGACAGAAAATATATTACTTCGTTAAAACATTTATCATGTTGATATTGATAAATGCTTTATTAGTGAACATTAATTAATAAACGTAATCTAACAGTTAATAATTAACAAAATTTTACTTGTTTTCTTTATTAATTTATATCAAAAATACGTTTCTAAAATTTAAATAAAACAAATAATGATCACGTATGTCTAATTAATGTTAACTTTAGTAATCTGTTGTTAATTTTATTTCTATTTTTTAATGAAAAATTTAAATTTTTAATTAATTGACACATGAAACATTTTGATAAAAGTCAGTTTTTTTAAGATTTTTTTTTCTTGTTTTTATAAAGAAGGCCACTTTTACATTATTTGCTTAACAAAGCAACGGTATTTCAAAAAATCCATGTTGACAATTGTTTGTAAGTAAAACATCAAGCTAAGTCATAGGAATCACTCCAGAAAAATGAATGTCTTGTACGACTGTGTACAATTTTATATATATATATATTTTTTTCTTTTCTGAATATTCTCAAATGTCCAAGAAGATTAATTTTTATATCGACAAGTCCTGAGCGATTTAACTTTTTCTTATTATATTATTATTATTATTATTCATATCTCTGTTATACTGTCTTCGAATTTCTTCACTTAATGGCAGCTAAATCCGTACTTCTTTTTGTTTTTTATAGTTCTTTCTTTATACATTTATTAAACATACATAAACAGAACACACATAATCTTCTTTTGAATCCTTGGATTGTCGCGCGAATTCACAAGCACCACAGCCGGAAGGGGAGTAAGTGGGTTCGTTTTATTTTATTTTATTTTATTTTTTACAGTACGGTTTAACACGTGATTACAGTGAGGACCGTCTGTATTCTTCACAACCATCTGTCTGATTTATCGTAGACAGCACACTTCTGCCGTTCCCAACGCTAAATTTATGATAAAAGTTCTCCCCCGTTAAGATCCTACACGCAAGCTTTGATTCACGCTAGGGAAAGGGTTGAGGTTGATCTTTATTCTGAAGGATTTTTGTGTAACCAACAGACAGGCATGACGCCTCCGTGGTTGGGAACTGGTGCTGTCTTTACTGTCGGTGGATGAATTCTTATATATTCTTTTTTTTAATATATATTTGTATTTTTTTATTTTATCTTATTTTATTTCCATTTTGTTCTTGTTCGTCGATGCTACACTGCACTTTCTCTCTTATTGTTCATTAATGGTGTTTCACACGATGTACATGCTGCTTCTTCGTCGTCGTCTCGTTCTCCTACAACAATATGAGAGGGCATATGTCGCTGTAAATCGAGTTTTGCATATTCTGTTGGTGGTTCTTTTCTTCTAACTGTAACTGTCGCTGAACTTTGTAAATCCTTGGGAAGAGCTAATTCAGCGTACGTAACATCTTCAGGCTGCATGATATAAATATAAAATAATTAATAAAGTCTTAAGAAGATTCGCAATTTTATAAAGATACAATAAATTATTCATGAAAATGCATTAGAAAATTGAAATTTTCAGATTATTACATTCTTATCTATGCATGTTTAATATTTATTATTTTATAAAAAATTTTAAACTTATGTTTACAAATTAAACATGATACATTCTTGTACGTAAGGTTACATCTTAGTTACAAGAATAATATTTATTTAATTACATTCATAAATATTGATACTGTAACATCACTGCTCAGTAAATTTATGTTACAAACAAATTAAATGAACATAATATAAATATATAAGAAACAAATCAATTTTCAAAAATAAAAATATAGAAAAATCTTTACAATTTAATAAAATAAAGAATATCAACAACATAATAAATTATTGAATATTGTAAAAAGCGATATTAATCTTGCATGACATAATATTTTTGCAATATGTATATTAAAGAAAAGGATTGTTTAATAGAAATTAATTAAGTAGAACGATAAATTTTAAATGGCTTCATTTATTAAGTTTCAAATTAAATTGAGTTTATCCTGTCATAACAAATTAGAATGCATGAATAGATATCTTTAGAGACAGATGAATCATTTACAGTTATTTTCTTTTATCTTCACTCAACGATAAATATACAGAACGTTAGATAAAAGTATAATAAAAAGAATCATGGCATACTTTTCTAAATGTGGAACAAGCTTGTGTTGGTAAAGTATTCTCGAACACGACTTCCCTCGAGGAAGAACTCCAATGACATATGGCAGCTGTACTAGTTGGAGGAGATGATGATTCTTTAACGTCATCTACAATAAAGTAAAAATGGAAAAACCATCAAAAAATACAAACTTTATAATCAATTTTAGTACATATAACTATACAGATATATATATATATATATATTGACTAACGTAAAATTAAACATATATTTCTTCCTATCGATTACGCTTGTGTTTCTGTATCACTTAATCGATTTATTGACAATATTATATTTATGTGAATTAATTTTCTATAAGAAAAAGTTAAAGTATAGTAACAGCTATTATCCATTTCAAACATCAACGATGCAGATAAAAGACAAGTTTGGTCCAGACGGCGTTTTTCTTTACCTTCTTTCTTCCTCTTCCCTGTGCAACATTTGAAATTCATGTATACGGCAAAGAAGGGAGTGTACGCCAATGTTTCTCATGTTAGTCCCAGCGCTACTTGAATACATTTTGGGAAGAAAGGGGGGAAAGCCAGATCAAACTGATCATTCGTTTCGAAAAATTCCCAGTAGCTAGGTGGTATTAGGTAAGACAAGTCAACCGGGTATTTCAGACTGTGTAGAGTAAGACGACAAAAGAAAATATTTTTTTGCAGTTATAAAAAAAAGTATACTATATATATATAACTTTACTAGTCCCTGCTTGAAATTTTGCTTAAATTCTATACATAAAAACACGAGTTATGTTGTATTTTACTATACAGATATAGGGCATGTATTTTTTGAATATATTATTAGATTAAATTTTTAGGGTTTATTAATGCTTTTTATATCTAAAAATTGATTGATAAATATAAAATTCTTACCAAGACAGTGTACACGACTTATTATTTTGGCTGGGATGATGTCTGGTCCTTTTTCTTCACTGTCTGCCATATCATCTGTATCTTTCTTTAAAGGAGTTTGGCATCTAGAAACAAAATATATCCTATCCAATAATTCAAAATGCATATATATAAAGTTTAT